TGTGTGTGTGTGTGTGCGTTCTCTATGTGTGTCTTTGTGCATGACCATGAACTGAAGTCATTGTCTAAGCAAAGACTGTTTGTTGAGAGAACCTCCTCAGTAGAAGCTCACAGGAGAGTCGAACCCGTTCACCATGAGCACCTGTGGATCCAGCTCTGCCCATAGAAGAGAAAAATCACACATGAGAGCTCTTTAAATGGATAGCTCACCCAAAACTGAACGTTCTGTCTTCATTTAAACACCCTCGTGACATTTCTTTCTGCAGTGGAACAAAAAATAAAGATATTTCGAAGGACGTCGGTAACCAAACAACTTTGGACCCCATTGACTTTCACTGTGTGGACAAAAAAAGAATATATTCTGAGAAATGGGATGCGAAGTTGTTTGGTTTCCAGCGTTCTTCAAAATATTATCTTTTGTGTTCCACAGAAGAAAGAAAGCCAAACAGGTTTGGAACATCAGGATAAATAAATCATGACAGAATGATTATGTTTGGCTGTACTGTTGCTTTACAATCTCAGTTATTTCTCAGAGACACTAATATATATTTGTTTTCTCCTGAGTAAAAGAGACCAGTAATTTCACACTTCAGAAGAGATCTTAATACTGTCTCAACATGAGCTCAGATTTGCCAAGATAGCAATCAAGAGTCGGAGATCTCATCATTAACTTCTCATCAAATCATCTGAGCTGCTTCACATACATTTAATAGTAGAACATCTCCTGAACCTTTGAGAATTTGTGTCTCATTTTAGGAGACCAAGTTGAGACTTGAATGAGAGTCGTAGAGTTTTCCTCTGAGCGAGTTTTGAAAGCTTCATCGTTGTTCATGACCCAGTTTCCCACTAAATACCCACTAGAGATGTGAATTGTGCCATTTTTCCCACAATCCCCCTTGATTCTTGTGTGATGTGATGTATTCTTTGTAGAAAATGAGCTCCATATATGATGCTAGAGGTGCTGGAGTTCTGCTGAATGGAGCTGAAGTTCTCACATCTGTTCAGCTGATGCTCTTCAGAAGTATTTCAGATCTGGCGCCGGTTCATTGGGTTTCAATAGCATTACACATGTGAGATTGTGAATGCAGTGATGAATAGCGATAATGACACAAAGTACACAAACACATGACAACATCACAGTATCTCTCTCTGTTCCTCTCA